TGAAGCTAAATTAATAATATTCTTAAATCTAAAAGCTTCCTATTTATTTTACACTTGATGCTTTCAAAATAACTTGAGTTAAATATCAATAAGATGATGAGCGTTTCTCAACTTTTATGGCACTCTGACTGGGAACATTAATGAACAAAAAAATTTTGCAAAAATGATATTTTTAAACAAAAAAAAACAACAACAACAAAAACTTAGTAGGAATTTAAAAATACCACACAAATTTTCTACACATTTATTAAAATCTTAAAATTTTGAAGCACTACTATGAAAAGCATCATATAAAGTTTTATTATTCTTAAAATATATTTTTTTTCAATTCTCTTTCTCTCTCAGGTACGTAAAAATCTCAAAGGACTAATATAATTAACTCGCGAACTGACATGGATCCAGAGTTCCACCAACCAACGTTTAAGAATCATTCTTCAAATTAATTCATTTTGCAAATAATACCAAATATAAAAATTCAAAACTATTTTAGACGCGCAAGATTCTTTTTGAAATTAAAATTACCAAAGTGAAATTCTACTGAGATCAGGTTGATTAAGAACATCTATCTTTTCATCCAACTGATGATTTTCAGTTTCATGTTCAGTTTTCCTTGAAATATCCTTTTGTTTACCTTCTTCCTTCTTATCTCCACTCAATCATAACAGGCTATCAAGCTTGTAAAGCTTGAGACTTGATGATGTCTGTCGGGAATGAGTAGAGCTCATCAATGGATGAGTTAATACAGTCAATAATGTTCGAAATTATTTTAAAGGCGTAAGATTCTTTTTGAAAATAAACAATTTCTACTGCCCTTACTGCAATGGAAAAATTAATGGGAGGGCCTGGCTCATCAGTGCTGGGAGGGTTCACCACTGATGAGCCAGGCCCTCCCATTAATTTTTCCATTGCAGTAAGGGCAGTAGAAATTGTTTATTTTCAAAAAGAATCTTACGCGCCTTTTAAAATAATTTAGAATTTTGATAACAGATGGCGCGCTAGTGCATCAGTCAATAATGTGTTTTGCAGGTTGACACTTAGAACATAGTGAGAAAACCTTGCAACCATTCTGGAAAGTCATTGTCTGTAGATGACCAGACTTAAGTCTGGAAATCAAAGACTGTTGTTCTTTTGGGAGGACAGAACCGGTGCTTGTCCCTCCTGTTGTTTACCTTTCATCATTGAAGTGGTGGAAATTGTAACAAGTGTCAGATACTGTTATTAGATCTCCCCATCTCTGTGTTTACTGTTTGTCAACTATAGCACCACATGCAATGTATAGGTATCCAGCATATGCTGTTTTATGCAGGGTTCTGTATAGACATATTAGGTGACAATGTGTACAGTAGACAACATTATACACCTAACCATTATTCATGTTTTCATTGAAGTGTAAGATCTGATTGTATGATAATTAAAGGGCAGACTCTTTTGGATGGGTGAAAACATTCTATTGCTTGTGTATATATGTTGTATCTGTTGTGGTCGAATGGAAGGGCGAAAGCATTGTGCATGTATGCTTCGAAAAAGAACATGTTCCACACTCGTGAGTGCGCGTGGCGGCGGCCATAGCGTTCGCCCACGCGCGCTGGCTCCCACCTTTATTTTGTACAGATTTATAGATGGATTAATTTGTATTTACATTTTAACATTCCAATGGCGAAAATAAATTATACATCTTGGGCATTAGGCAAATTATGACATATATATACTTAATATTTTGCATATTCAATCCAACATCTTGACTTCATCATCCAAAGGGATCAGATTTTTTTTGTTGTTGAAGTTGACTTGTAGTCTGTTAAAGTAAATAGGCTGAATAAGAGTTGAATTGAAGTAAGTGTTGAATTAAAGTCAGTTTGATTAAAGAGATTCAGGTGACTTTAAATGGACAAAATTTTGACCTAGTTTCAGTGCAAATGAAAATGGTGGGTTGCCAAAGTGTCAGTTAGTAAAATCTTACCACAAAAGTTTGACGAGGGTTCATCATTATATCAAATACCAACCTTGCAACTATGGATTTTCTCTGTTGCTGATGGCTCACTGCCATCTATCGCAAAAAATAAAAAGTCGGTGGACGAGTGGGTAACACCCTCGATTCCTGACAGCCATGAACCGGGATTGAATCCCACGTTAACATTTTGTTTAATATGTGAATAACCTTCATATATTATTCATTGTTACAATTATCATAAACTAGGTTGCTCTTTTTGAGCGGTACCTAATAAAGTGATTTTGGAACAAGTCTATCACAAAATTTTCAACCTTTTTTAAGAGAGATAATTGTTGTTTTCTCTTCATTGGAAAATGGGGACTATTGTCACCTTGGAAACAGACCAAAATTTGGTAGAATATTCCATGGGTCCAGGGGGGGATCACAGGGAGGATGAAAAAGTATGTAAATATCTATAAATTATATTCAATTAAAACTATGGCAATGCTGGCTTATTGTTGAAGTTATTGAATAGAATTGAAAATATAACAAAATTGAAGACATAAATCTTATTTATATTCACTGTGTTCTGTAGTTTGCCTGTTATCATTTCTGAAATGTTTCTACAAATTTACATATCTACTGATTAAATTTGCATATTGTGTCTTTGCTCTTAATTCAAGATCAAGAGTGGTACAATCTAGTTAAACATCTGTGGAATTGATTTTATTTCTTCAGTTAACATGTCTTTATTTTCAACATAAATCTTCCTTCTTTTGATAACATTGACAATTCTAAATTTTTAACCTTCAAGAATGTATAAAAGAGAAAATTTTGTATAAAAAGGGTTCAAGCTCTCAAAAAATATGCAATTTTTTTAAGCCAATAGAAAAAATTTTGAACCTAAAAATTCCTCTTTTAATTATAATGAAAATGTGTTTTTATAAAGAAGTATTTATTTTAGACAAAAAGAGATCAATTAAAAATATACATTTCAAGACAATTTTGCTATTTTCTCAATATTTCACCCACTTCTCTTGTTGCCATTATAAGAGAAATATATTACGCAAGGCTTTATTTTTGTTGTTGTTTCTAACATCTAAGTGCATGCTCCCAAAGGTTATCTTGGCTGTGGTATTTATTTCAATTACTGAAATTATCTCTGATGACATTTGAACTATCTCTCAGCCCCTGGTAATGCTCAGAGAATCCAGAGACGGGAATGTAGGTTTACACTCATAGACAAAACTTTAGGAAGTTGTACCTTATAGCATGTATATCTGGATTCAGACAATAACTCTGAAAGATGATAAGGCACAATTTGGATCATAGATTATAAATACAAGGTAATAAGACCAAATATAAATAAATAAAACTGAATTCAGTACTTTTGTCTGAAGATGGTAACAATGCTGTTACCAAAATGTCACACACTATTTATTTGGATTTGGTCTTATTACCTTGTGTTTATAACTCTGAAAGATATTTGATACATAGAGACCTTTGTTGAAGACACATGAGATAACCAAGTGTGAACAAAATTGCCTTTGTCTCCTTCAAAAAAAAATAAAATAAATAATAGATCACTGGTGACCTCAAAGACTTTCAACTTTCTAAAGTTTTGTCTATGAGTGTATTTTGGGGGATAATTTAGCCTTGGTGGGCCACAGTCACTAGGGGCTGGTCTAATGCTGGGTTCAGGGTCCAGTCAAGAGGGGTCGTTGGGTTCCACGGGGCTGGTTGTAGGGGGTGATGCTGCTGTGATAGGTTTCATTAGGATGTATTCAGACCGGAAGTAAAAAACTGAATCGTTATTTCTGACACATTGCAGTGTAAATGGTGGTCAATGGCCAAATACAATTCTACCTGTTTTCTCTGTGGTGGTACTGTTTCTGAGGTGAAAATGAAATAAAAATAGAATTTCTAATTTACAAATAAAATGTCAATGATATTTCAGCCTAGTTTGATCACACCTATTAATTTCTGTAACTTTCTTTTTTTCACAAATCCAAACGTAATGTTTTGGTAACTGAAATGTCACATATAATTTACCTTTTTGGGTTTGTTACCTTCTGTGATATATATATATACAGTTAAACCTGTCTATAGCTCCTCCTCTTGGGACTCACCAAAATAGGGTGCTATAGACAGGTCACTTTTAATGTAAATCGCATTGTACTACATATTTAAAATCGGGCGCTATAGAGATGGAGGCGCTATTTAGAGGGGGCGTTATAGACAGGTTTAACTGTATATATGTGTGGCAATATAAGGTGGGAAGAGAAATAAGGACACCACAAGTTGGAGAAGGGACCCAGACAACCAGAGAGGGAGAGAGACGGGTCTGCCACCGCTGAGCGGCCGTTCGTGTCGCGCACAATCACCAACTGTCTTAAAAGTCCCAACGTGTTGACGGACGGGCCCCATTTGCCGCCCCCTGGAATGTCGCTGCTGTCTCAAGTGACCGGACTTTACATCCCGTCTCTCTCTGGGCTGGCTCTAGGTTTGCTTTATTATTCCTGGAAGAGTATATATTATGACATATATATATATACTAGCGGATGTGTACCCGGCTTCGCCCGGGTTTTATCCGAGTGAAAGTTTGCCTAACGAATATTATATATTATGAAGTATAATAAACAATGCTAAAGATTAGTTTTAATTATTAATCAAGATTGTGTGTGAATATGTGAGAAAGATGTAATATCGTTGTTGTTTTCTTGGCCGACTGTTTTACATATGGTGTTATCTTAAAATTGCTTGTTTTGAATATTTTTTTAGATTGAGTTGAATGAATTGCTGAATTTTTTTTTGTATTTATATATAAATAAAATTAACTCTGTTGAATTTTTTTTTTATTTTATCGATAACAGCAAAGTTATGTATTTTAAAGTTAGGAAAAATATTTTGATGTTAAGCAAAACCTGCTCCATCTCGTTTTACATAAATGTTGAAAATTTGGTCGAAATTGATGCATTGTAACGAAAGTTTTTAGCGAACACCACTTATGAAATTTCCATTTATATAGAAGATATAATATAAATGAGTTTTAAAAATTGTTAAAAAAAAATGCATCGGCCGGGAATCGAACCCTGGCCGCCGGCGTGGCAGGCGAGCATTCTACCACTGAACCACCGATGCTTTAAAAAAATCAAATTCATTTATCGTCGCGACCAGTGCTGCGCCCTAGCGGTAAAAGACTGGAACTAACGCTTTTTGGTTTTTTATTTAAAAAAAAAAAGCACATTAACATTTTTAGTTTTTTGAATAGCCTATATGTTAAACGAAATCTTCAGCTACCTACATGCGAAATTCCATAATGATTGAGTCAGTGGATTTTGCGTGATGCGATAACAAACATCGATTTCGCATTTCATTTTTATATATATAAGGATTAAAAAACGAAATAAAAAAATAAAAGATAAAAAGATCAGGTGTTGAAATCAATATTAAAAATGGCATATCCTGACCAGGAGCACATGTGCTTTAAAGAAGGCAGAGCGCCATCTGGTGGAACAGAAATCAACTAAACATTGATATAGCCTGTTCCCTGATATTTGGCCAACCCAATTTCTTGATAAATCAAGAAAACGCTGACGAGCGCCAAAAGCGCGAAACGCGTTCGTGGATGGCTTTTCTTGATTTATCAAGAAATTGGGTTGGCCAAATATCAGGGAACAGGCTAAATCAATGTTTAGTTGATTTCTGTTCCACCAGATGGCGCTCTGCCTTCTGTAAAGCACATGTGCTCCTGGTCAGGATATGCCATTTTTAATATTGATTTCAACACCTGATCTTTTTATCTTTTATTTTTTTATTTCGTTTTTTAATGTGCTAAGCGTATTTACGCAAGTTTGGCCTTAAATACCCATTTCTTGGTTTTTCAGGAAGTCATTGGGATCAAAAAATCTTTTTTGATCGCAATGGTTTAGCCTACTCCACGCTGACGAGCGCGAAACGCGTTCGTGGATGGCTTTTCTTGATTTATCAAGAAATTGGGTTGGCCAAATATCAGGGAACAGGCTAAATCAATGTTTAGTTGATTTCTGTTCCACCAGATGGCGCTCTGCCTTCTGTAAAGCACATGTGCTCCTGGTCAGGATATGCCATTTTTAATATATATATATATATCATTAAAATTCCAGCAAAAGTCTTTTGTTAGCCCCATTGGAGGGATGTATGGGGAGGTTGGCTCTCATCAGCATGGATTGCTAGGAATCCTTTTCCTTTCTTAGTATCATGTATTAATCTCCTCTTCTTGTTTCTTATCTCCACTCACAACCATATTGGAGCATCAAACCTGTAGAGCTTGAGATAGGTGTCTGCTGGATATGTCATGATTAATATCATTGTTGATAAGACACAATTTGGATTATAGATTATAAACACAATAAGACCAAATAAATATATAGTGCGTGACATTTCGGTAACAGCGTTGTTACCATCTTCAGACAAAAGTACTGAATGAGAAATTTTACCACAGCATGTTTTTTGAAACAACAAATTTCTCATTCAGTACTTTTGTCACACACTATTTATTTGGATTTGGTCTTATTACCTTGTGTTTAATATCATTGTTGTTACAATTGTGTTAGTGAGTACACATGAGTAACAATTAGTGTTATAATATTTATAAGAAGACTTCAGACCCCCCCAAAATACAAACCATTTTAATCTAGTATTAAAAGTTTTTTATATCTGCTAAGCTCTTTGTAATTTTAACAAGGCCCAACACTAAGCAATTATGCAAATTTAAGCTTACCCATTATCTTAACAAGTATTTTGCATAGTTGAGAAATAACAATCTGAGATATTTGCATATATCTATATAGTAAAAATAATTCTCTTTGTCCCCTACACACACAAACATTATTCCCCTACAAGGTAATAAGACCAAATAAATAAATAAATAAATTTGGTCTTATTACCTTGTGTTTATAATCTACTAGCCGAATGACCCGGGCAACGCCCGGGTTTTACCCGATTAAATGCTTTTATTCAAATACTATTCGTTACAATTATAAATTGGCGCCGTGGATGTCATTCTTGTATAATATATAAATGATATCAATTGAAAAAGCCCTGTACGATTTATAAATGAATAAAATAAAGTATCAAGGGCTGCGTATCTTTATTAGAACAAATATATACGAGCTTTCGGGCACATACGCCCTTCTACAGGAATTAATGAAACAATAATCCAACTAGTTTGAAATAAGATTTATATATAAATTTAACGTGCATTTCCACGATACACGTGCATATCAACTTGCAAGGTATACCATCAGACATGTGATATCTTATACTGTGAATGAATTTGTTTTATCTTATTTTATTTAGGTCTATTGAATTATATGCTTCTGGTAAATCAATTCTGCGATTTATACTGCTATATTGTTTGGACACTTTTGCTTCAATTATTAATCTTTGATATTTGTTATTGATATTGTTGTAATGTACTTTAGGTTCATTTAAGTTAAATGTGTGTCCTGTTGAATTGGAGTGCTGTACTATTAATGATAATGGGTCATTTCTGTTTATGTTTCTTCTGTGTTCAATGATTCTATTGTGTTATTTTCTTCCCGTCTCTCCCACATATTTGGCATTACAATTATTACATTCTATAGAATAAATTACCTCTTTTCTGCTTAAATGAACCTAAAGTACATTACAACAATATCAATAACAAATATCAAAGATTAATAATTGAAGCAATAGTGTCCAAACAATATAGCAGTATAAATCGCAGAATTGATTTACCAGAAGCATATAATTCAATAGACCTAAATAAAATAAGATAAAACAAATTCATTCACAGTATAAGATATCACATGTCTGATGGGATACCTTGCAAGTTGATATGCACGTGTATCGTGGAAATGCACGTTAAATTTATATATAAATTTTATTTCAAACTAGTTGGATTATCGTTTCATTAATTCCTGTAGAAGGGCGTATGTGCCCGAAAGCTCGTATATATTTGTTCTAATAAAGATACGCAGCTAATAAAGATACTTTATTTTATTCATTTATATATAAATGAGTTTTAAAAATTGTATAAAAAAAAAAATGCATCGGCCGGGAATCGAACCCGGGGCGCCCGCGTGGCAGGCGAGCATTCTACCACTGAACCAAAAGCAAACGGTGACAGAATTAAGAACGCATGATGATGATAACTGTATATTATCCGTGACAGAGGCGGCTGATGAGGAAAGACGGTCGTGACTATATATAGTAATAATCCAAATTGTGCCTTATCATTATTCCCCTTAATTAATTACATTTTAAAATGCCTTAGCTAAAATACCTCTATAAACCTTGTGTATGATTTTCTTAAATGTCTGAATTCTGCCATTGGGTGTGTGAAAAACTAAACAGGAAGGTTTTAGCAGTTTTTGTGAGATGGAAGCTGATGCAGTCAGTACAGTGCAACTTCACTCCTTTATGTAAATACATTCTATTATGATGCACTAGCGCGCCATCTGTTATCAAAATTTGAAACTATTTTAAACGCGTAAGATTCTTTTTGAAATTAAACAATATCTACTGCCCTTACTGCAATGGAAATGATGAGCCAGGCCCTCCCATTAATTTTTCCATTGCAGTAAGGGCAGTAGAAATTGTTTAATTTCAAAAATAATCTTTCGCGTTTAAAATAGTTTTGAACTTCCTATTATGTGGCAAGATTATAAACTCAAAAGGAGCTTCTTCTATAGAATATGCCCATGGGACAGTAAAATGGGCATGTTCAATAGAAGAAGCTCCTTTTGAGTTTATAATCTTACAACATAGTTATGGTAATGTTGATGTCTACACACTTGCTATCATATTATTCTACCAGTGAGAATTAACTGGATAACAATCTTGGACATTTCAATGCTATATCAGACTGGAGTTTTATTCACATGCTTAGTTCAAGCCTGGATGGGAACAAATTTAGTTTACTTACCTCCTGTTTCCATACTTTTTGGTGTAAAGATTTCCATGTGATACAGTACCTCCCTGTAAAGGATACCTAGTTGAAGAGCCAAAATGTCCATTAGAGAGAGGTGTCCTCTTACCGGAGAATTGCTAATTAGTAAAAAACAGTAATTTTGCTCATGAAAACTGTCCTTTGTTTACTACACTTTGATCTTAGCCAAAAGGCTGAGAAGCAATGTCCTTTGTAGAGAGCTGTCTTCTAGCAAGAGTGTCCTCTCTTGGAGGTTCAACTGTACCAGAAAAGATTGGACACTTGACAATTTAAATGTTTTACTGACATCTTCAATGATTAACATTTGATAGGATTGGAGGGAATGGAGTTTAGGAAAAATTGAGATGTGTGGACATTGAGTAGATTCTAAGAAGAGAGAAGGAAGACAATGGAATAGATAAAGAGCTGGCTATAAGAGGGACCTACATGCATGCTACCAAGTAATGATTCTTGCCAAATGGAAAGAATAAATCAAGATTTATCCATAAAATGACAATATTTTCCATTGATTTTTTTCACCAAAATCTGCAATAAACAAATTTCAAAAATGTAATAAAGCTTGCAACATTTTTATTTTGCAAAAATATAAGGAAAGGTTTTTCAAAAAATAAATATAAACACACTTTACAGAAATAAAGTAGAACATAATCAAAATAAATACAACTACGAAATTATTTTTAAAATTACACAGCTTGTATGACAAAACTATTTTTAATATTAAGAAAAAAGCTTTCCCCACGCTGATAAGGGCCAGCAGCCCAAAACGCGTATGTAATTAGATTAACCAAGAAAGGGTATTAGGCCAATTCTGAAATAATTAAAAATCAGCCTTTAGTTGATTTTTTTTTCTGACAAATGGTGCAAGCCATCAGCAAATTTTAGTTTCATGATCAGGAGATGCCTTTTTTTTCTTGATTTATTCACCAGATCCCAGTACACTTTCACTTTTGTACTGTTTTTAAAACATTTTTAATATTACCAAAAAAAAAAAAAAAAGAATTCAACTTACAATCTTATTTCTCCCTATAAAAGTCAATGTAGATGTTTTTATAATACAATAAAGTCGGTGGATGAGAGGGTAACATGCTCGATTCCCGACAGTCATGAACCGGGATTGAATCCCGCGTTAAAATTTTGTTTAATATGTGAATAACCTTCACATATTATT